AGCACCAAGAATGGTTCATGGTATATGGTAGGCACTTGGAAGTTACATGTGACAGATAGATGATGAATTGTTCCCCTCAGACCATCTCAAAAGCACAGGGCATGGTGTTCTCTCCTTCATTACTTCATTATGAAGGGAAACCTTCAGGTCGTATCAGCAGCCTGGTTGCTGGCTATGTAATTGCGCCATTTTGGCTCTCCTGGCAGCCATTTTCCTTCTCCTATTTTGATGGCTACAGAAAGGAAAGAATTTAATTTATAACTTTTGCAAACTTACACTATTTGTAATCACTATAGGTTGAGAGGAATGCTGCCCCTTTAAGTTTCTGGTGGGAATTGCATCTATGTGAGTGAAAAACATAATCTGTTTTTTGGAAAAACTGGATTGAGTTTTGTGTTTGTTCCATTTGGGAAATGTTATACTAAATAGATTAAAGTAAGTGACTTTGAACTTTATTTTATTTTTTATTAGCTTAATTTGGCTTGTAGAACATTTAAAGTCATCCAAGCTTAAACAGAAGATCAAAATAGACTAATAGGTTAATGCAGACTATTTTTACCCCTGCCTTTGAACTGCGTTAATGAAAATGGTGCCTTCTATGCCTGCAGATCATGAGCACAAAGACTGGCTTTCTGGGGACCTAGTGTACCTTGATGGCTGCCCTGGCCTGAACTATGCCATGGCTTCTTTCCAAGGTTGTCTGTGCTATGTATCTGACCCTCAGGACGACCCCAGATCTGGCTTAATGTTCCTTGCCAAATCAGAAAAATATCTGGACTAAAGGCAGACCAGTGAAAGTGTGTTTAGGAGTGCTTCCTAGGGAAGAAACTTCAATTGTTGGGAATAAATCCAACCTAATTGTTGGAAATGTAACAGAGGGTTAGAATCTGTTTTTTGGTTTTTTGCTTGTTTTGAGTGGGGATCTTCCTCTCTTGCCCAGGCTAGAGTGCAGTGGTATGATCATGACTTACCGTAGCCTTGACTTCCTGGGCTTAGGTGATTCTTCTTCCTCAGCCTTCTGAGTAGCTGTGACTACAGGCGTGAGCCACCACATCTGGCTAATTTAAAAAAAATTTTTTTTTAGAGATGAGGTCTTGTTATGTTGCCTAGTCTAGTCTCAAACTCCTTCACTTAAGCAATCCTCCTACCTCGACCTCCCAAAGTGCTGGGATTACAAGTGTGAGCCACTGCACCTGGCCTAGAATCTGTTATTGATGGAAACAAGGAACAATTTGTTACTCACAGAGGTTTTGTTTTCAGTTGAATGAACAGTAGAGTAAGGGAGTCCTCACTGGAATATGAAAAGCAAGGACTTATTTTCCACATATTATCTCTTTTTGTGTTTGATTTTCACTGCTATGCTTATTCTTTCTATGTCTTTAACAGAATTGTTCAGGAAGTAGAAATGTCATTACCTTAGTCTCATTTTAAATGATCTTTAATTACTGAAACAATACTTGTTTATTTGTAAGATGATATTAAAATTTATGAAGTAAAAGTTGTGAATTATTTTTTAGAAAAAATAGATTTTTATACTACATAATATCTCATAACTTGCCTTTTTATCCTTATCAGTTCATAGTAGATGAGTATATAGCTGCATGGTATCCCACTTTTTAAAAATACCATGATTTTTTTAGCTGACAAAGTAAGTCTTAGGATTTAACAGTTTTTGACCGATAAGTAATGATAGTGAACATTCTTGTACTTCTATCATTGTGTACTTGTGAAAATGTCCAAATCTGAGTTATAGGGCTTCCAGAAGACATACACTCTCTAATCCTTCTGCCACTTCCTATCGTCTTTGTTATCTGCTAGTCCCTATAAGCATTTTATGTATTATCCCAACTATAAGATAAATGCTTAGAGGTAGAATTACTAGATCAAAAAAAAATTAAAAGTATAAAATGCTGTAGATATTATTAAATTGTTCTCCAAAACATTTCATGCTTTGAAGTAAAATCCCTTTTCCTTTGTGGTCAATTGAAAAGAATTATTGTGAGATATGCAGGGCGTGAACACAGTATTGTTTGATTATGTTTATTTTATAGACAGACATGCAACAAGTAGTTTCCATGCCATCATTACTCAGATTAGGAGATCAGTTTACTAGGAGCCAAGGACCGCACATAACTGGAAATACTGCACATGATTCTGATTTTCTTTCATGAGCATTAAAACAAAATACAAACCAACAAAACAAATATAATGTAATGTCCATAAATTCCTTAGCACAGTACCTGACCCAGGGGATGGTGCTGATTATAGATACCACAGTGGTGCTAATGGAAGGTTTTCAATACTGTGGTGGTTGCTAGCACAATTATTCTTGAGTAAACTTGTCTGGTTTGAAGTTTGGCACCGTCCTATTGATTTTCCAAGTTGGTTGCCATATTTTAAATCAGGAGTTGTAGAAGGTATGTCAGTAATTTACAGTATTGTTCTGGAGTTTTAACTATGCCTCCAAGACAGAACTCCATTTATACTAAGGTTCTTCATCTGGACGGCAGAGGAGGCTGGCACACACAGCTACCTTTGTCGACAACAAATGGGCTGCTTTGTGTTGGGTCTTTGCTTATAAAGATAGACTCATTGCTGCATTTCCTAAGAGCTATCTCATGCTTTCTTGCTTGGATAACCATGAGGATACAAGTTTTTATCAGTTTCAATTTTCCCTTTAAAGAGCTTAAATTTGAGATTAAAAACAAAGATTTATGAGAAAACATAGGTCTGGTGTCAAAAGACTTGATTCTAATTCTGGTGCCTGTGGCTGTTGTCTCTGGGCCTTGGAGCTGGTTGGGTCTTCAGTATTGGCTGAACCAGCATCTTTGGGGCCTGAGAATAGACCCCAGTGCTATCCTGAGGTCTTAAAATACCTCTTTCATGAGAGCAAACCTTAATGAAACTAAGCAAGACACTTTAATTAATTGGGCCTCTGTTTCCATCCAGGCAGAGAAAATGAACAGGGAAGCAGCTCTATGTAGGGAGAAGTCAGTGTTAGCCACCTTTGGCCATATGAGACTGAATCTTTGCCTTTTTTCCCCCCAATAGAAGCCCAAATCTGCCATTTATAGAAACATATCTTGGCCAGGTGTGGTGACTCAAGCCTGTAATCCCAGCACTTTGGGAGGCCATGGTGAGAGGATTGCCTGAACCCAGGGGTTCAAGACCAGCCTGGGCAACTTAGTGAGACCTTGTCTCTACAGTATATCAAAAAATTAACCAGGCATGGTAGTGCCTGCTGTAGTTCTGGCTACTTGGAAGACTGAGACAGAAAGATCACCTGAGCCCAGCAGGTCGATGCTGGGGTGGCCATGAGCATGGGCAACAGAGTGAGACTCTGACTCAAAAAAACCCAAACAAATATGTTTTTGCTTCCAAATGTGACTTTGGTGGGACTGATGTGTAAAAGAGCAAGGAGAGAGGCCTGTCCATCTGCCCGTCCACCCAGGAAGGATACTATGGCCTTACTGAATGATACTATGGCCTTACTGAACATAAATGACTCCAGACTGACATGATATAATAATCATGTGCATTTAAACATTTCTTGAAGTTGGAAAGAAAACACCACCTTACCACTAGCTTTCAAGTTATAACACCCAGATGAGAGGATGTTCATAGTTAAAACAGAATCTTCATTTTTACAGTCAGATGTAAGCTTTCACATCTTTTTATCTATTCATGTGTTGAGTGTTGATATTCCAAATACAGTGCTTCATCAGGGCATGGTCAGGTAAAGGAGACACATCCCTTCCTTTCCCTCATCGAGTGGAGGAGCTCAACCTCACAGACCTAACTACATAAATTACTAGTTCACCACAATTTGAGCAAAGTCTGGAAGGAAGAGTAGGAGCATCTGACCCACCAGTCTGTATGGGTTAGGTGGACATCACCTGGTAAAGCTTTTGATGCCACCTGCCAAGCATCATTAATCTAATGCGGTATCTTCATTGACCTTATTCCCAAAGAGGGCTGCGCTTGGCCCACTAGAAGAGTTTCGTTTGGATTGTGCAGTATTGACCCATATACCATTTTAAATTTGAATTAAGCCAATCTCCATCAGTATACATGTCCATGTAACAAACGTGCACTTGTACCCCTGAATCTAAAATAAATAAATAAAATAAATGAAAAAATAAAAGAAAGTATAGAGGTTACCAGATGTTGGGGGTGCAGAAGTATTTGTTAGTGAATACAGAGTTTCATGTCATGTATATTTTACCATAATAAAAAAGCAAAAGATTATGGAAAAAATTGAATTAAAGGGGTTTAACCACTTAATTTCTTAACTTTCTTCCATCTAACCTCAAGTACTATCTACCGGCAGATTGTGCTTTGTTTCAGAGAACTCTAGCCTCATGAGAGAGAGTCGAGAAACCAGTAGAAAATGAGCAAGCCAGGGTTTTACATGTGTTCTCTGCTCTTCAGGAGCCAAAAGCTTAGGAAGACAAGAGGGCATCCCCATTGGTCTTCTGGTCACAGGCTATGCCTCTCGTCCCAGTTAATTACCTCCTAGTGTCCCGCCAGATACCACAGATGGTAAGAGAGTGTCTGCAGCCTGTCCTCACCATTGGGGGGAAATGCTGAGAGCCTTGCAGTGGCATTTTTATTCCCAAGAAAAGCACATGCTGCATTTCCTGTGCAAATGGGGGAAGTGGTTGGGGATTTGGTCCAGACCTGGATGATCTTTTGCCATATGTGTGGAGCAAGCCCAGGTCCATGATGCCGCCAGTCTCCCAGTCCCAGTTACTCTCCTCTGTCCTGACTTGCACACCGACAAACAACCGCCACCAGTGCCATATGGTTAGAGAGATCAAAGGCCCCAGTTTGGAATATATTTCTGGCTGACTGTACTTCAAATGTCTTAAATATGTTCCTACAGATGGGTAGCATGGAGCATGAAAGAGGTAAGCCACATGTGTGTGAGCCATGCATGTGATCTGTATGAGATGGTGAACAGTGAATACCACTCAGCTGTGTGTTTGTCTTCCTTTCAGGTTCGCATTTTCACATACCTCATTGGACGCGAGGCTGCTTTTGCAGACAACCTCAAATGGATGGCTTGTGCCAACAAAGGTGGGTCTCCCCAGTGTGCTTGGTTCTGAATAACTTCCCCTTGTGTGTGGAATTAGGAATTATGAATCATCATGAGAAAGGTAGGGAGTTCTAAGAGAAGGCGTGAATTCTAAGAAAAGGTCTGGGTGTTCCTAAATGATTATTGATAGACTTGTAACAGCATCTCTCAAGTTATGTTTATGAATTTTGAGGATATAGTCAAGTGGAGTAGCTAAGCCTTTTCATCTCTACTACTTAGTAGCTGAGTAAACTTAGGAGAATTACTATGGCAGAGACATTTACTGTGCACCAAATATCTATATGCCCTCTTGCCATTCCTAGCCTTGTAGATTGATGGGCCCTCAATCCTGTTTATGACCAACAGGCCATGAGTAGAACCAACCTGAATCATTTCTTGGCTAAAGCATTTAAGATCTGGTGTATTGGTGTTACACTCTCTTCTCCTGTTCCTGTGAACTCTGAAGCTACATGGTCCAGATGGAGTAGCTTGCATAATCCTGGGTCCCTGAGTGACCACATGGAGCAGTTGCCTTTCATTCTGTACCCTGCCTTCTGTCAACCTACTCTGGATATGCATGACAAATTAACATTTGTATTAAGCCACTGAGATTTCCGGTTTGATATGTTCCCATAGCATAATTTTTCCGACAGTACTAATTAAGTTACTTAACTTTACTTGATTCAGTGTTCTAATATTCAAAATGGGAATGGTAATAATAATTTTTCCTTTGATTTTTTTAATTGACAAGTAAAAATTGGCGTACAAAAGAATGTTTTGAGGTATGTACACATTGTGGAATGGCTAAATCAAGCTAATAAACTTATGTATTGTCTCACATACTTAGCATTTATATGTAGTGAGAACACTAAAAATCTATTCTGTTAACAATTTTCAAGTTTACAACACATTGTTATTAACTATAGCCATCATGTTATACTATAGATCACTTGAACGTATTACTTCTGTCTAACTGAAATTTTGTATCCAATTCTTCCTTTGATTCTGATTAGTGAAATGATGTATATTAAGTGCCTAGTTCAGTGTTGGAATATAATAAGCACTCAGAATTGTTAGCTTTTTTATGTTCACAAGGTTAATTGATTATCAGCCCCCTATTGTGTGTCAGAAATAATAATTTGGGAATGGCACAAGAGGGAAGTGTTAGGTAATAGGGCCTTCCAGTCTATTAAGGGGTTCTTTTCATTTTACGCACAGCCAAGAAGGCAGAGCATAGCAGGCAAAAAGGTGGGAGAGTTCAGATTCCTTGAGTTCAGATCTAGCCTCCCCCACCCAACAACTTTGTGCAAGTTATCAAACCTGTCTGGGTGGGTCTGAGTTACATCAACTACATGGTGAAGGTACCTCCCACACAGATGTTGTGTGCATGAAGTGAGGTCATACAGATAAAGCTGGTAGCTCAGTGCCCGGAACATAAATGCCCTAAATTATTTTCTGGTGTTGGATTGATCTATGGACCTGTCTTAATTCCTCTCTGAGGCTATAGCCCCAGGAGAGCAGCCTTTGATTCTGATTTCATCTTGGGTGTTCTGACAGAGCCCAGCCTTGTTCCTTACTTAAAATATGCTCCTTTGATGTTTGAAAATGGGTAAATTTACTATAAATTCTAATAAAAGAAGGTATGTCTTATTGCACAGTAGATTGGTATTGATGGATTTTGGTGGACTATATTTATATTGATCTCCTAAGCCATCCTTCATAAAAGGTTTTAGCATTTGAACTTTAGTGGGGAAAAGAAGACTCAGTGAAGGAGTTGCAGGTCTCAGCTCCAGATCTGGTGACTTAAGACAAAGGTATTTTAATTGTAAGCAAGCAAAGTTGCTCCCTAAAATTAAAAAAAGGAGTATTTTGGAAAAAGAGGGGAGTGGCTCAGAACCCTGGGTGGGAAGGAAAGCTTGGGTCATATGTGAGGAACCAGGGAGATGTGTTTTTGTTTTTCTTTTTCTTCTCAGTTACTTTTGACATGTCCATAGCATTCTTCTCTGTAGACAGAAATTCCCTACTATGACATGTGCATAGACAGAGATGGCCGCCCCACACCTACATGCCTGTCCAACCACATGACACATACTGTGGAAAAGAAATGATAGTGCATAGGAAAATTTATGTTTTTTCCACTTGAGACTGATTGGCAAACCTAAATTCTTATTTCAAGTCCCCCTTCTCACCGTCCCCATCCCCCAAAGATGATGATACCCATTGTGGGCTACTTCTCTCTTCCTGCTGAACAGGTGTGGGCAGGCATAAATCCACAGAGAAATAAGAAGTACTGTGCAGGGGCTCAGCACTGTGGGTGCTGGTGTCAGGAGTTCTCAGAGAATAGGTGCACAGCTGAGCTGATGAACCTATACCCTTTATTGGCATTGTCTTTAATTATCTGTTTCTATTTGTAATAGTCTTTTAAGCAAGTTTCAATTTCCTCATCTAAGAAATGAAGGACTGTATGAAAAGTTTCCAACATTTCCTTGAAGTTCTGAAATAACATGCTCCATGGTTGTTTCAGTTCATTTTCTGGCCTGCCTCACTAAAAGGTATCAGTATTGCTTATCTCAGAGTTGTACCCTTGACTTTGTTTCAGGGGGAAATACAGGAGGAACATAGGCAGAGAGAGGGATGCCAAGTGGATCCCAGATTTCTTTTGAGTGGAGAGGCCATTCTTGAAATTAGTTTTGGAACTATGTTGGCATTTGAAACTTTGAGTGCACACTTTCCCCATTTTTTCCTTTATTCTGTGGTCTTGAAAAAAATTGCTTTCCATTTTTTAATTTAAAAAATTTTTTGCTGTTATTTCTGCCACATCAGATTGCAATTCTTCCCATCAGCTAGTATGCATTTAGTCATGGGTTATTGTTTTTACCACTGTCTGTGTCCAGCTGATGAAAATTACTTAAATTGAAGTCTTGTCTTAATCAACTAATATTACACCATAATTTAGTTTTAGTCATTGTTTATAAGAATCTTTGAAGCATTCTTTTGAAGATAATTTAGACAACTCAGGGTATTTCAGAGCCTGGCTATAGAATATAGCCTTTACGATTTATAAGTTCCAAGTCCAGTAACTTAGAAAATCTGAGGAGGTAATAGTAGCTGCCTAGCTGGACGGATTGTGGATTCCACAATGATTCATTTTCTCTTCCTGTCCAAATCCAGTTATTTCCTTCCTACCAGAGTTAGTCCCTCTCAATAATTTCACCTTCCTCACTTTGCTTCTCTTATAAATGGCCTTAGGGATATAATGTCATTGTTTGCCATTCTTCAAAGCAACAGTGCCATCAAAATGTTAGGTTCCAGTCATCCGCGCCCATGTAAACATTGGCTCCACGTTGTGTTGGTTATGGGGTTTTATACCACATAACATTGGTGAGCAAGTATTTTTCTATGGTCATTAATTAAATCATTGTTTATAGTCTTAGATTGTTATAGTATGGAAGCAGCATAACATTTTTCATCTCAAGTGACATGAGGTCCAGAGGGCCCCCTGACATATTTTCGCTCTGACGCAGCCAAGTTCTTCAGTGAAATGGTGCATTAACATTCAGGGTCCAGAGCAGACCCAGGGAGAGCCCAAGGAGAAGCCCATTGGCTGACTGACAAAGCCTGACCACAGAGTGACCCTGGGTGGGAGCAAGAATTGTTAAGGCCATCACATTGCCCCTGGGTCCTTGGTCAAGGACCTGCTATTGGTGAAGGACTTCTTCCTTGGAAGTCTGGTAGCTGTGGAGACAGTTCTTAGCCAGCAGATCTCAGACACTTTCCTCTGGAAATAAATGTCTGGGGGCATTCATACCCTTTGCAGGAATTCTGTGCTTCTTCCAATCTCCTAGCAAAATCCAGAGAGGCCTGGAGCTCCTGGGTTTGTTTCATTCTATGTGTAAGTAGTCCTATCTTGAAGGAACAACCCTAATGAGGCAAAGCAGCAAGTCATTTTAAATACCTTAAAACAGTCATTGCCACTGTAGAATGGCTTGTGGAGTTTAAAGTTCTGCATTCACACAATTGTATCAACAAGAGAACTGGGAAAGCAGAAAAGAGGGGCAGATATTTCATAAAGCCATGATGACCTTCTCTAATGTTCAGTATGCCAAGATTTTAAATAAGCACTGGCTGATTCACCTTCAAAAAGCACAGTTAATAGAGTGTTTTCCAGCTGTGCAAATAGAGTTCTCAACCAATCAGTCATTTTGGATCCAATGGAAATGCCACATGCTTTTCTTTTTGTTGTCTGCTTGGCTTATCCCTTTTTGATGGGTTAAAGGTCTTTCTCTTTATTTGAAAGAGAACTAGTGGCTTGAGTCTTCCTGGGAAGCCCAGGACCCCAATCTTTTTTTTTTAATAAAAAAGTTTTGACCTTCCTATGCCTTTCCAAGTGTGGTGTCCCCCCCAAAGGATAGCTTCAAATGTATAAGGCCAGAATAGTTGTAGGCAGGGGTAGGCAAAAGTGACAATTAATGCATTTTTCTATTTCAGGACAGGTGGCGGAAGGCAAAAAAAGACAGCTGTCCAGATACCTTTATGTAGTTCTTTTGTGTGCATTTCTTAAACCTTCATAAAAGAAATAACACATAAAAGCACTTTGTACCATGCCTAGTGCCTTAGGAAGCAGTTTTCCATCCTGAGTTGCCGTGAACAACAACCATAGCATCACCATCTCCGTCTTCATCATCATTCAAATTCCCACATTCTAAGAAACTGAGGGTGAGAACTGAGGCTGCCAGATTCCCAGCTAGCAGGTGGCATAGCTAGGATTCAGGTTCAGGTGATCCAAAGCCCCACCCTGGACTCTTCACCAGGATGTGAGGCTACCTCTCTTTGGGGAAAAGAACGTTGTGATTCATAGAGGACTTATGTGTCTCCTATTATCTAGACAATCCAGGAAAGGAAACCAGAGAGTGAGAAAGGACTTAACATGTGTCATAGCTAATAAAGACCGGAGTTGGGATTTATATGAAGCCTGTGTATTCTGCAAATGATACTGCCTCAG